TTACAACGTGCTTTTACTGTTAGTAACTAGTTTAATTTACCTCAGGGTCGTAAAATTCAATGCAACAGTAAATTTATTAGATATCTATCACTGTCAAAGGGAATGAAATTTCCACAGTGAAAGTGACCGTGAAAGGGGAGAAAAAGGCTACCCCAATATGTTTCACAGAAAAAACCCAACATTGGATATGCATACTTTAGAAACGAAAACCTCTCTAACTTGCATTGCCACTGGTAATTTCTTTCAAAAAAAGGGAACTTAAGAACTCCAAAATATATCTAAAACAATAAACATTTTTTTCTGCCTAACAAATTGTGTTTTTTTTTTTTGAGTGTGCATTCGGAATACTTCTTGTTGACGGGAAGAAAACTAATCCCTTGAAGGTTTTTTCTCACCAACTTTTTAGAGTGTTGGAGGGGGCTCCGAAATGTTGGTTGCTTGTGCTGATTCCAATTTAGGATCCAAGGGGCTCATAGTTCCCATGGAGTGTTGTTGCTCTCGTGAAAATCCACCACTGTTCATGTTTCTGACCATTCCTCCAACCCCCAAAAAGTCCAAGGTCAACTTATCAGACCCTCCAAAGCACAAACCAAGGTTTTGTGACATCCTTCTTAGGCTCCTCCGAAACGTTTTGTGAAACTGGCCAAGGTTGTTTTCATTCCCTTTCACGGTGCCAAACATGGAGCGTTTCCATTGGCAAAGGAGTTCATCAATCCGCGCAGATGGTTACTGTGCTCACTCTCCATCCTTGACCTTATACCTAATTCTTCCGTTCCTCTCAGAAGAGAGCAGGGACCATTAGTGGTGGTGGTGAACCCATTGAGCGCCTTGAAAGCAATGCAGGGCGACATGTGAGGGGCGGGGACTGCTATCTTGCTGCAAAGAAAGAATTACCAAAGACTGAAGACAAGCCTGAACCAACTTGGTTACTTACAGGGCTACTAGAATTATAGAGTGTTGTTGTTCCTTGATCATTGCCTCCACTTATGTTGCTGAATTGGTCGTTGATTATGCTGCCACTGGGTATTGGTATTAGGAAAGAAGCTGAGGTTGAAGAGATTGGCGTTGTTAGCTGAAGCAGATAATGATGAGGCAGAGGTGGGGTTGTTGGTGGTGGTTCCTTGAAGATCAGGGAGTTGCATAAGACCGTGGAGTTGCTTGGTTGAGAATAAGGGTCCTTGTTGCTGAGACTGATGAAGGTCTTGAAATGCTTGGTTTGGGTCAGTCATGAAGAATGATGAATGGGATGGTGACTGCACTCCAAATGAAGAGGAGTGGTGCAGATTAGGAGAGATTAAGTGCTCAAACTTTTGTGCACTTCCAAGGCTCAATAAGCTGTTAGCAGAAGCTGCTTGGTTCTGCAGTTGGGCCCCTAGGCCTAGGCTCATGTGGTTTGTGCCATACAGATGATGAGCTCCCAAAGGGTTCAGGTTTGAAGGGTGTCTTGCATTCTCATGTGCTAAAGCATCACAAAAGGCCCTATGAGTGATAAAACTGTCACGCCTGCAACAAGTTAATAACATGTTATTGAAAATTGAAGACACAAATGATGTTTTATATACACATAAGTAGCACTAGGGAAACAATCCAAACTAAATTTCTCCAACTATACATCTTGATTCATGACCTATCTTATTGCAAGTATATTATAGGTTAAAGGGTTAGAAGAGAACAATTAATATATACAACCCACCTTAAGAACAATTCACATGATTGGACTTAAGAACAAGAAGAGAAATTTTCTATTTAATTACCAATGCAGCCACAACCAGTCACATAAACAATTTCACACTTGCCAAAAATGAAATATAAAATAGGAAAGTAAGATCTTTAATTTTGTGGTAATGAAAAACAGTCGTTACACATAGTCAATGAAAAGCATGATATAGAAAATTAAGTATTGAATTTGGAAAATAATATTTTTTGTTGAAATTGGATCTTCTGGTTTGAAATTAATAGAAGTATGACAGGAAGAGAGAGCTAGGGCCCAGAGGATTATGCCAAAATGTGATACACACCAACAACTCCTTATCGAACTACCACTTTGAGTCCTCTCTTTGATCACTGAGAAGAAAGAATTATTTACACATTAGATGAAAGTCAATTATAATAAACTCAGCATGGGTCCAGCCTCAATAAATGCAAACTGCCCCATGAGTTGTCCATTTTCTAGCCTGAGAAAAATTCTTGTGAAAACGATCGTACCAGCAAAAGAGTAGCTAAATTCTCGGAAATTCTCAGTGAGAGAAAAAACATGAAACTATGTATGAAAAATTAATGCAGAGGGTTCAATTTGTTGCAGAAATGAATTCAAGAAACAAAGGGCGAGTGTGACAATAAATAAGAGCATGAATGAACTGTACCATGGGAAGAAAAACTGTACCTGATGAAGCATATTTGAAAGCACGTACACGTATATGAATTATATAAGTATCCAAGACGAAACAAAACAAAACAATGCAACTCCAAGTCATGTGAGAACAAACCCAGTATCACTGTGCCTGAGCCTGTGCCCCCTCTTACATTGTTGCTTATAACTACACGTGAATGGGAATAAGGATAAGGAGCGTTGTTCCCGAGAAACAAAGTTGAGCTTTGCCTTGTTTTTTCTTCTAAAACATTTCAAATTTTTCAAACACTTTTCTATACTGTGCTCACGTGCGAGCAGTCTTCTGCCTCTTCCACGTCCCTCCACTAACACCCACACATAAACTAACACAACAAAAAGTAGAACGGTCTTGCTCAATTTTACGTTTTAAAAACATTGCAAAAACACATTTCTTTTATTTTTACATTCACCACAGTTTACAGTTTTCATCAGAACAGCATTTGTTAGAGAAATTTCCTTTCAGCTTTTATTATTTTCGCAACCCTTTTTCTTATCATGAAATTTAACTGTCCTCAAAAGATTTTCTTGCGTAGAGCTCTGATACTCAGTTTGCATTACACCCTTTTCACACCTGGACTATCAGATTTGAAAGATAACAATGGGAGATGAGATGTAATAATTAATTAAGAGAAAAGGCAGAGACAAAACAAAAGAGTACATAGAATAATAGAAAATGAATATGAAAAAACTAATTGTTTTCCTCGGTACCAAGAAAACATTTTTTTTTCTTTCCTTTACATTATAACTTACCCAAATCTACTAGTCCAATAGTATCCATAAGAAGCTGATTTTTCTTAGAAGAGTTAGGTGAAAAGGGTGTATGTAATGTATGATACATGTCCGTTTATCTTTTTCCCTGTCAAATTGCGGTTAGAATGGCTTTAACTGAAAAGTTGTTTTGTATGATGATGTTTTAGCTACACCAAACATTCAATATTAGAAGCAAAGGTAATTTTGGATTGGTGTGGATATACCTGGAGAAGAGGGTGCCACAGTCACATCTATACTCTCTGGTGCCACAGGTTTTGGAGTGAGCCTTCCAATCTGATTGAACAGCATATTTTTTGGAGCATTTGTCACACTTCCATTTCTTCTCACCGTGTTTGCGAGAGTAGTGTTTCTTAATGCCAGTGAGGTCTCCAAGAGCCCTCGAAGGGTCATGATGAACACATGTGGGCTCAGGACACAGATAAACCTTTCTCTTTGGCTCTTTGTTGCTCTTCTGCTTCAGCTTCCATGGCAGATTGTGTCCTCTTCTGTGAAGCTGTAGATTTTGCTCCCTTTGAAACCCTTTATTGCACACTTCGCATATAAACCTGTTTGTTGCCATTAGAGTCTTCGGAGACAGTGCTATCACCTCAGCATCTGGATCTGCACACACACACACACATGCATCATTTTCTTCTTCCCATTCCAACCACCAAAATAAATAAATCAAAAAAAACTTTATTAAATAAAGCCAAAAACAACCAATACTTAGAAAATTCACAGGATTAAAAAGGAAACCAGCAATTGATTTTTCTGAAAGCTTGAAGACAAAGCCAAAGTTTCCAAAACACACCGCCATTTAATCTCCACATTCCATTCCTCATTTATGTTCCAAAGTTAGGAATTGATTAGGGTTCACCACCCCACACAGGAATTGCCCATTGGAAGAAAACAAAAAATTGTGATGGTGGGTGGTGTGAAAATTAAACCTTTTGCAGAGATGAAACCAGAAAGTGAGAAAAACCAATTCATTTAATTGATGAGAAATAAACCGAAGAGTAGATTTTTTTTAATTTTTTTTATGTGTAAAATTGTTAAGATACTTGCTTGGTGTTCCAGGTTGGTTTCTTCTTTTCTTCTGGGGTGGTGGTGCAGCTGGAGTTGATGAGGAAGATGGTGTTGTTGTGGAGGAATGCTGCTGCTTCATCTGATTCTGATCCTCTTCTCTGATTCCAAAGAGAGATGCTGAAGAAAAAGGTGCTGCCATGTCTTATAGCAAAACGTTTCTAGTGATTTTTTCCTTTTCTTTCTTGACTCAAAAACCTTACAACAACATCAGAATTCTGGAAAACCCACATGCAATTTGAGTCCTTGAATTCTTGTCCCCAATCTCAAAACTCAAAGGCAAGGGAAGTTGAATTCTCTAGAGAGAAATAGAGAAGAGAGGCTGAAAGGTGAAAACTTCCATGAAAAAGAAAGTTTTGAAGCAGAGATAGGAGAGGAAGAAAAAGGAAAATTCAATCCAACCCCATGGCCACTTGATATGAGTATTTTCTCCCAACTTGGGTTTGTATTTAAATGAGAAATTTTGAGGTAGAGGTTTTCAGAGTCTCTTCCAGTGATTTGGTGTCATGCAGATACACCAACACATATGCACACACACCCCATTTTGCTCAATCGTTTCTTTTTCTCATTTAATTTTTATTTTTCTCTCTTGAAACTCTTTTCCAGATTTTGCTGAATGCTTTTTTTCAGCATTTAATGAAATTCCACAAATTGGAAAATTGATGTGTGAGAGAGAGAAAGGCCTACGGCACTGTGGACCCAATCCATAGACACATAACGACATGAAATGGGTGTAAGCAACATGAAATGAAACAGCTATGCTCTCTCTTTCTCTCTCTTATTTCGCATATTCTGACTCACTCCCAGACAAACTTTCACTAATCACCAAGCCCCACTGGGCCCCACAAAAATTCATAAGCAAAAACAAATAAAAAGGTGATGAACTGAAACCGCGTGTGTGTGTGTGTATTATACATAAATTGCTCCATAAACCGTATATGTAAAACGATGGAAGTTACCACCTTTGAAGTGACAGAATCAAAGTTTAAAAAGTTGATAACTTTACTCACCCCTTTATCTCGAAGGGGAGCAGTGATTAATCTTTAATCTTTAAAAATAGGTTTCTGAAGTAAAAAAAGCTGTAGCAGTAATAAGTTCTTAAAGGGTCGAATGCTGTGAAAAAGTGAAAACTTGTGACAGTGGAAGTATTTTTACAGATTTGATTAAAATGAAGAGGAAAAAAGAAAATAGTATATTTTATAAAGAAAAGTTGAATGGAAGTGAAAAGCACCTGAGGAGTGATTGGGGAAGGGACTGTTGTCTGAAATTCAGTAGGGGCAGAGTGTACTGTGTCATTACCGTTTAGGGACATTGACATGGAAAGGGCATAAAAGGTTTCTGAACCCACCTTTGCTGTGTTTAGCTGCCTTGGGTTGCATGCAATGATGCAATGCAAGGCCTGGCTGCTACTATCCCAAAGTCACATCAGGGAGGGACACCCAATAATACTATAAATTATTATCCATCATTATTTTTTACACCATTAATTTTTTCCCTTAAGCTTCTTTTTCTTTTATCTTAAAATATATTAATCTAGCACACCCAAATGGTGTTTTGGGTGTCACGAAATCAATCGAGAGAATATTAGANGTGTGGATATACCTGGAGAAGAGGGTGCCACAGTCACATCTATACTCTCTGGTGCCACAGGTTTTGGAGTGAGCCTTCCAATCTGATTGAACAGCATATTTTTTGGAGCATTTGTCACACTTCCATTTCTTCTCACCGTGTTTGCGAGAGTAGTGTTTCTTAATGCCAGTGAGGTCTCCAAGAGCCCTCGAAGGGTCATGATGAACACATGTGGGCTCAGGACACAGATAAACCTTTCTCTTTGGCTCTTTGTTGCTCTTCTGCTTCAGCTTCCATGGCAGATTGTGTCCTCTTCTGTGAAGCTGTAGATTTTGCTCCCTTTGAAACCCTTTATTGCACACTTCGCATATAAACCTGTTTGTTGCCATTAGAGTCTTCGGAGACAGTGCTATCACCTCGGCATCTGGATCTGCACACACACACACACATACATCATTTTCTTCTTCCCATTCCAACCACCAAAATAAATAAATCAAAAAAAACTTTATTAAATAAAGCCAACTTAGAAAATTCAAGAAAAACTTTATTGAATAAAGCCAAACAACTAATAGTTAGAAAATTTAATGCTTCAAGTATACATACTGAGAGTGAAAAGCCAAGATTTAAAAAATTTTAATGTAGAGATAAGCATAGAAGAAATTAAGAATCATTGCCATTGTAATCAGCCTTTACTGAGTTAAAGAAACTCCTAGTCCTATATGTAATAGCAGGATTTAGGGTTTCCTTGACATGATTGTTTGTCAGGAGAGAAAAAGAAAATCTAGAAACAAAATCAGACAGAAGGGGAATTTAACATGAACATGGAAATGCTTTTTTAAGTAATAATGGAATCTAATGAAGAATGCATAGAGCTACTTGCATGGTGTTCCTGGTTGATTCCTTCTTTTCTTCTGAGGCATTGTGGTTGGAGTGGTAGTAGTAGAAGTAGTAGTAGTAGTAGTAGATGAGGAAGCAGCCGTGGAGGATTGGTGCTGTTGTGAAACCTGAGTTTGATTTTCTTGTCTGATTCCCAAAAAGGGTGTGGATGAGGAACCAGAAGCCATGTTGTTTTCCAAAGATGAGAGCAAATCTGGAAGTTCTCAAAGAAAAGTAAAAAACTTGTCTGTTGGAAATAATATAAGCAGAATAGAAGAAGAAGAAGGGAAACAAAAGACATATGAATAAAAAAGGAGAAAGAACAAGGACCTGAGTGAGGCTATATATGTATGTTTGATTTTTGTTGTCTGTTGAAAAAGGTTTCAGATTAAACCCAGAAAACACCAAGAAGAATTTTATCAAAAAGAGACAGCAAGAATTCTGAGAGGAAGAGAGGAAGAAAACAACATCACTCTGAAAACCTACTGATATCTCTCTATTTTTTCACTCTATCTCTCTCTAGCTAGCTAGCTATTGTTTTGTTATGCATAAAATTTTGGTTCTTGAGTAACTGGCTGCTTCTTCTTGTTCTTCTTCTTCCCTTATTTCTCAATCATTTGATGCGTTCTACATAAATAATAGTAAGCATACTTGTCCACCCCATACGCATACCCATATCTCATTTTTTTCTCTCTCTCTTTCTCTCTTTTGTCCGTTTGTTTGGCTTATACATTTTCCTGATATCCTTGTTAAGTGTGCATTCTGTGAGGGGAAATAATTTAGTGTAATGAAGTAGCAAAACGAAAAATGGAGGGTAATTTATGTCCCTATTATGCAGCCCTTACACAGCACAGTCTAGTGTGTCCCTTAGCAGAGGATGGTTTGGGGCCACCGACCCTTAGGCCTTACGGTCTCCTTATCTCTCTCTTCTTCTTTCGTTTCTTATTGCCAACAAACACAACTTGTTCTTTCCTCCTTTCCTTTCCTACACGCCAATTCTCAATTATTATTATTCTCATTATCCTTAAATCTATTGAAAATAAGATATTTTCACATCTATATTCTTCAAATCTTTTATCATCAAATTTCAAGACTAATTCCACGTTACCAAACTCAGTAAGTAATGTCAGGTTTCACTTCACTTATTATATGTACTGTGTTTATTACCCCCATGACATGTGAAAAACTTATTATAGGTCAGATAAATTTAATTTAATTGTTTTTATTCAGTCTACGATATTAAAATAATAAGATTTTGTCGGGCTTTCAGTGAATGTTTATCAAAGGAGTAATATAAAAAAAAAAAGTTGCAAAGTATTACAAAAGTTTTTTTTTATTTGTCTCCACAATTAAGTGAATGAGATGTTAGGTAATTGTAAATGTCAATTCACATTAAATTTTGTATTCACTTTTATTTATATTTTCGTTCTTATTTATAAGTATTATCTTGAAAAATATTATTTTCTCATTATATAAATTTAAATTTAAGTATATCTGATAAACCCAATTCCATAAAATAAGACTTGTGTTTATTTATATTTCAAATTGGTGAAATTATGGTACCACAACCCCAGCTAAATCAATCACACATTTATCTAAAATTCTATTTTAAAACAGAATAGGAAGTTTTCATATAATTATGTATTTAAAATATAGATAATGACATCTTTTGTAATAATTTGTTTAAATTAACTTACTGATAATATATATATATATATATATATATATATATATAATTTTATGTATTTAAACCTTCAGACTGTATAACTGTGTTGATTTAATATTACAAAAATTTGTATAATTTTATTAATTCGGTTCTGATACGTGCATGATGATGCAAACAAATAATAATCATCTCCATATTTAGAATCCAAATTTAAAATTCATAATTAGGTTGAACATGTGGTGATGTCTTTTCACCATTTAATTGTATATAAATCTAATTATATTACCTCAACTGTTATCATGAGTATGAGTATAATTTCTTATTTATCAACAATAGTTGTAAGTATATTTAGTAAGTACAAATTTATAACTTGCTTTATTGACTTCAAAGTCTGTTTCAATTATGTTAGTCATTTTGGATAAATAAATTTATTTTAACAGTATATAGCATATTGTATTCAAGGTTTGACTAATATTTTATTTTCTAATTTTATTATTATTTTTATTTATTTTTAAAAATATTTATTAAATTTTGTTTTTACCTTTTTATTTTAATTATCGTTCTATTTTTATTGTTTATTTCATTATTTTAAGGTATTATGACGATACTAATAATAACAATGGTATCTAAAATATTGAAAGAGTTAGATTGTCCTTAAATGTATGTTATGTTATTGTGTGGATAAAAATATGTTAGGTCTAGCAAAATGTATATTATATTTATTTTATTTTCGACTTAACTGAGATGTTTTAACTTAAATTACAAGTTAAACTTAAATAAAAAAATTTAAGCCTATACTTCTATATTTGTCCTTACTAAATAGCATCACAACTTAATATATTAAATATTAAATAACATCCACCACATTCTATAAAAACATATAATCTACAATAATTGACTCTAGACTCAATTATCCGAAAACGATACTTTGACATAGACGTTAACGAAGGTGTGCACCTATAGTAATATTCTGAAAAGTTTATAAACAAGGGTAACTCGACCTACTACATATGAAGTTAATCTTCCACTCCTAAAACTCAAAAAGTGAAGGGTAAAGATCTCATGTCATTCTCTCCGTCACCTCATTCATCTCTACATGAGTTGAATGATTGGTAGAATATCAAGATACCTCCTTTCAGAAATCTCACTGTCAAACATTTTCACCACAACTTACTTAAATATAGAATATCTCCTTGTGATTCTTCTCACAACATAACTCTACCATTCCAAAAGCATTAATAAATATAAAAATATATGCGCACCTTAAACCGATTCAAACAATACATCCATAAAAAAGCTTTTAAAATGAAATGACAAACTAGAATAATGTCAACGCTAGCTTTAGGTACCCATGGTCAGCTATAGTGGGAAAAGTGGTGCTCAGCGCCAAATTCGGTTGCTTAGGGCCCACAAGTTAGAGAGCTTTCTAACTTCTTGCGCTCAATGCCCAAAGGTGGTGTTCAACGTCCTAAAACTCTATCTCTTGGGTTTTTTTAGTGCTCAGCACCCTAAAGGGCCGCTCAATGCACAACAGATGAACAAATCGCATAATTTGATTAGGACATACCCTCAGTACCACTGATCAATAAAGAGTCTTAGAGAAGATTCGTGCCTTAGATTAACAGAGAAAACACCTACATGTAAAACACCTGATTTAACGAAATGGTAGAAATCAACTTACTTTTCAACTAAAATTGATCAGCTAGAACTGAAGATATCGCCTCAAGGATCCCTCATACGGTCTTTGATCTTCGGATAGATGAGTATAGGATTAGTATTCTATAGAGATGACAGAGAATATTAAGGAAAAGAGTTTTAGAGATAAAATTTTGTAGATAATGAAACTCCTTAATAGAAAATTCTATTTATACTATTGATATTTTTGAATTAAAAATAAATGGAATATCATTATTTAAAACACTTTTATTAATCTAATACTCTATTTTTGAGGGTCTTGCAATTATCGATATATTAAAATAAATTATATCTATTTATCATACTTAAAAGTAAAAAGATATAAAAAATATTATTTAATAATCTAATTTTATTAATAATTTTTACTTGTGGTACAAATTAAACTAAAAATTTAAAAATTTAAAAAAATTAATTGTCAAATATATATATATTTTTATATATATATATATATATATATATATAATTCGAAAAATCTTGTTTCATTTTTAAGAATAATATCAAAACTATTAACAAAAGAATTGTTCAATTTATGCTTTATGAGCTGTTTTGTACAGTTGTAAATAATGAATTTAATTTATTTACACTATCAAAGTTATAGCCTATTTTATGTTGTAGGGATTTATTTCTAATTGTTTATAAGAAAATATATTAACTAGCTAATCCATTCAACATAATTTGATAACAAAAGCTGTAGAAACTTTATATTAGAAATGACTGTCATACATTAATTGTTGTATATGTTAACGATTTTTCTGAAATAAATATACTCAAAATATAGATTGAGACTATAGTATGTGTCACTATAGTTTTACTCATATAATTACATTCATCATTATATTATTGATTTATACAAATATCTAACTTTAGGAAAGTAAAGTTTTGAATAATATTTTTTAGTGAAAAAAACGGAGAAATGTAAGATTTAAAAAAATAATATTTTAGAATTGATAGTACTTTAAAATAGTAAAACTCGATTATTTTTAATATTAAAATGTCTTAATATAAATAGTTTTGTTATAAACGAGTTTTATTATTTAAATATGTAATCCTTTTAAAATCATTTTTCTAGAGTTTTTTAATTTTTTTTCTAAGAGTTTCTTCATCTTTTGTTTATCTAATTGAAGAACTAAGACCATAAGATGATTATCGCGACAAGCTCTCAATTTGGAAGGATCTTTCTCGGTTCGTATAAGTTAGTTTTCTACCACTTTTTTTTTTGTCAATATGTTTTGTCTTCACATACAATACTTCTTTTGGTTGCATGTGTCATTTAAATCATCAACATGATACTCTACTATCAATGATTAAACATTATGTCCTAATTATTTTTGTAATATTTTTATATGAAGATAAAGCATCATGTGGAGTTTAGAGGAGTGCTTTTCCTATCTTAAAGTTGTTTGAATCATTTGTCAGGTAAGAGAAGTTGGTTGGTTGTTGTGATTATGTCTATATGTTGATATTTGCATTACATGTGGATAGTGTGACAATCTTATGTATAATCTCTTGTGAATTTGTGTTAATCATTGTAAAAAATGTTAAATTATTTTGAATAAGTGTTTGTGTATGTGTTTCTGAATATGATGAACTATGATTTGATATGGAAATTGAGTGAGAGGATTCTAAATTGAGAAATTGACTTGATTGGTATCAATTAAAGATTGATTTATATTTGTTTGAGCTAAATAAAGGAGTAGAGGTACTAATTAGAGTCAATTGAACAAGTTAGATTTTTCCACATTCAGTTCTAGTTTCTGTCATGGCATTGGGCGACATAAGAGGGTGTATGGCTAAAGTTAAAATTTCAAGGTTTAGAGCATTTTTTAT